GGGGGGGGGGGAGGGGAGAGACGCGACCGTGTGTTTTCTACCGGGGCAACGTGAGGTGTACATACATTAGCCCACTCGACGCAGACCGCTTCTGTGACAACCCCGCACGATCGCGTCACACAGTCGTGCGGGGAGGGTCCACGCCTTTAAGGACAACGGGTTTTCTGCTTGATACCTATATCGCGGTTGCTGGCACGAGGCGGTTCCGGGAGCTCCCGGTGGGAACAAAAAAAAGAGACGTGCATTGCTAGTCAGTTGAGCGAGGCTCGGTGCGGGGCACGGCCGTCATCCTTGACCGCTCGCCTCCCAAGACCCGTCGACTACTATCCTGCTCGAGCTACCGAACGCTCCAGCTGCCTTCCTGGCGGTGTCCCCGGCAACGGTGAAAATCTCGATCGAAGCGCCATTCGCCCCCCACTTCATCCACCACGAGCCCCCAAGCAACAGCGTCAATCACAATTGTCGTTACCTCGGGCCAAGCCGCCATCCCACGCACCTCTGTGTCCCTCGGGAACGGAACCGTTGTGGGGGGGTCCGTGTACTCGATGCGGTAGGCCAGGGGTCTCGGTGACCGCAGCCCGTCCGGGTTGTCCTCCGGGGGGATGGTGAAGGCGTTCTTGTTCCCGAACCCGAACTCGATGCCCCCGAGGTCGATGGCTCGCGCGGTCTGAGGAACGACAGGGGGTAGCGGCAGCAGCGAAAGGCGGGGGGTTGTAGGTCAGTGCATAGCCTTCGAGATGAATAAACTTGGTTTTAGTTGGGGGTTGCGGGTTAGGGATGGGGACGGAACTTTCCCCTCTATTCCATGTGCAGAAAAAGCTCGTGAACGGGGTACATCGTTGCGTGGTGTTAGCCGGCAGGAGCAAGCGCAGGCGGGGATAGTGTGGTGTTCCGCAGAGATGGGGAGAGACCGCGGCTATTGTGCAGACAGGGGAAATAGCTCCATACAAGGACGAATCATAGAAGGGGGTCAAGTAGCAGCAGCCACGCGCTTTCGGAAGAGCACACAAGTGTAGGTGCCCTTGCACAATTGCACGACGAGGCGGCCGCCGTACGAGAGTAGGTGGGACCTGTCTTTCGCGATGGCGATATACGGCCAAAGAGGTTGGGAGCTACTGATGTTAACCCAGTGGCGATCGTGACGCCCCCCCCCCGGCAGAAGCAGACACTCTCCAAGTGCGGTTATCAGATGTTCAACCGGCTGGCACACTCACCTCTTCTAGACCTGCACCTTGTCAACGCTGCAGCAATTCACACCTGACACTTACCTTTTTGTGTAGAAGTACAACCATACCAAGAGCATCACAGCCGAGAGGTTTCTACCTGTGACAGACAGCCTGCACCGACCGCTCGGTGTCCAGAGTTCTCGCGAGAGGCGGCCGAGACAGCAGTGTACACAAACTTCGCATACTACACGTATGTAAGGGGTAAGGGCGCAAAGCTGTTGATACATGTACAATACAATATGACAAAGATCTTGAACGCAGCAACGGTGTAATCTGCTGTACTGCTGTAGACTAAGTCTGCTCTTCGACTATCAATTCACCCACCTCTTGTTGGGCTCCCAAGACCGCGCCTACAATCCCGACCATGGACGCTCCTGCTCGTAGGAAATCCGCGCGCGACTGCTGCCCTTGCCCCTTTGGTTGCTGCTGCTGCTGCTGCTGCTGCTGCTGTGGTAGTCGTCGCCGAGCTTGGTCGAGCCCATCCTCCTCCTCCCCTTCGCCGTTGGCATCTTTGTGGTGCATGCTCCTGCTCGTCGTAGTTGCAGTTGCTGCTGCTGGTGGGTGCACGGCGAGGCCATGCCGCCGCAACAGCTGTCGGCCCACCTGCCTGCAGTGTTGTCGCGACGACGACAAGCCGAACGACCCATCATTTCTGCTGTGTCTCTGCATCTCTCGTCTGCTGCACCTCAGAGCTGCGCGCCGGCTAGCTAAGCTCCGCCGCCCGCTGTTGCTGCTCCTGCGGTTTTTGACAGTCCCATCGAAACATGAATCGGAAGGAGCGGAGGAGAAGGCGAAGGCCCCGGCTTGTGTGACGAGCGAGAGGAGAAGCACCGCTGGTGCGCAGACCACATGCATCGTGGTGTGAAAGGGAGTACGCGGGAGACAAGAGGTAGCAGCGGTAGCAGGAGGTGCAGTCCGTGCGTGTAACGCACGACGAGCACAGTGAGCAGGCGAGCAGGGGGGGGCCGTGGAGAGTGAACATGCATAGAGGGGGGTCGCATTGTCAGCCTTTGGTACCATCTCCGGCCCAAGGGATCCAGCATTTCGCATTGCCAGCATGAGAGCTACTGTTGCCAGCATCCCCAGCATGAGCTACTACTTTAGAAAGACATATCAACCGTTGTCCAGCCAGCATGGGCAGGCAGGGAAGCGCTTGTCTTTCGCTATTTCCAGAAATTATCATCTGTTTTTACAATACTGATACGCTCCCGCCTGCTGTTATTGTTTGACGTGCCAATGCGAGATTTTTTCACTCCACCCTTCTCGTCCACAAATCTTTCGTGGTTGAAGGTTTGCTATGTGTGTGTGTTCGTCCCATCTATTCTGGCACCGGTTCATAGACCTTGCGGCGTCTATACCTGACATATCAGCCGGGGTCACACGAGAGGAATACAGGAGCTTTAGAACAGAAATAGTCTGACATATTTCACCCTCTTGCACCTCTAAATTGTTAGAGCAAACGCGAGCTCAAACTACAACGAATATCGGCAAGGACGCCCAGAAATCAGCATCTCGCATCCCTGACGCCGGAACTTGTAGTACCTGAGGAAAGTCGTAGTGTGTGCGTTATGCAAAATGGAACAAGTGAACGACGCGCCACTCAGGGCTTCACCGAATATCCAACATTTAAAATTGTGGAGCAATTTACAAAGTACCGTCCTCCGAACCCTTGGGAAAAAAAGAGGGAAAAGCCACGCGCATTATAGCCTGCGCACACCTCACATGAGAAACAAAGTAAATCGCACAAGCTGCGGCGAAGGACAACGAGTGAAATAGAAGCCTCAAGGCGAGGAATAATGCGTACTTGACAGGCGGTGCATGCCACACCATGGGATGCCACACCATCGGCCCGTTTCCACATCTCACAACCAACCTCCTCAACCTTGAGGTACACTGAAATCATAGTCTTGGAAAAATACCCCCTGCCCTTCGTCTCGGACAGCCAACTTTTTACGAGTGACGGGAATGAAAGGATAAAGCATACACACACACACGGGAGCAGCACCTTTCGCATTACGTGCGTTTCCGGCAAACACAGCAATGCCGGGAGAGAAGCGGCAGTCGAAAGCACAAAATAATCCCGGCCCAACCTCAGACACAGCGGCCGCGCAGCGTGTTGCAGGCAGCCAAAACACCGGCATAATTCACTCGTTACACTGCCTAAAAACGAACGTCAATCGTACATTCTTTGAATCGTACAAGGTTCGAGACCTAGACCCCACGTGCGTATCAAGAGTGGTTTAAGTGGTCCCTGCCGTAGCAGAAGAAGCAGCAGCTGCTGCTGCCGCGTTTCTCTCTCCGAAGAAACGCTTGCCCGCCTCGTAGCTGATCATCATGATCGCGCACGCCGGCGCTACCTTCCCCACGCGCGCCAACGCGCCCGTAAACAGCCCCGCCGGCCCCTTGCTCTCCACGATATTTCGCATGACATCGAACGTGCCAGGTGCCCTCCGGGGCGGGCGTGGTGGCCGGTGCTCGCAACCAGATTCTGTCCGGCAGGCACGAGGACGAGACAAGGCGAGGGGGTTGGAAACCGAATCTTGATGCCGGTACTACGGCGTGTGACATACGTTATCGGCACAACCACCGGGGCACACGCCACGGTGCGCATCGATGCGGCAGCGCGCGTCAATTCGCGAGTTCCTCGCCCAAAACCGGACGAGACCAGAGATAACTGACTCGCGTCACCGGCTAGTGCACTGCCAAATTTTCTTGCCAGTCAGGGCCGATAATACACACGCAGCGGGAGGGTCCCTGCGCATCTCTAGTGATGCGCGTATGTTGTTGCGGCTAACCCATCCCGACGATGCAGCAAAGCAATCGTTGGCGTTGGGTGGCGTTGTTGCTCATCGGGGCAGCAGGCCACCCGCCGGCGTACAGAGGGCGGTCATTGAATGTTCCCATGTCCCGAGAGAGAAAAAAAGGAACTAAACTGACAGGCACAATGATCATAGCAGCAGGTATCACACCGACATATTTCCTCGCTCCCAAACGGTTGCAACACAACACCGGCTATACACAAACACATGCCTCATTTTGTACATACTGTACGTCAACAAAACAAGAGCGAGGACTCTTGAAGTAGCGAGGTCACCAGGGGGCACGCAAGCGCTACCTGCGGTGCTCCTGCCTCGTTGCAGCACTCGACGGGCCACCTTGGGCGGAGGAACTCACCGGGCACCACATCCACCAGCACCTGTCGCTGAGTCTTCACGACGTCAAAGGGGTGTGTCAACAGGCTCGCCACCATGCCGGACACCGCCCCCGCCACCAACGATCTCAACAAGAAATCCGCCGACCCTCTCTCCTCGGCGAGCCCCGCCGTCCCCCGACTTCCCCCCCCTGCCGCCGGTGCCGCCGGAGCTCCCCCTTTCCTGCCACACCCTAGGCCAGCCTTGAGGTTCTCGTAACCTAGCCAGTACACCATCGAGAACGGCACGTCTCTCCACATTGTCGTCCCCACCCCCCGCCAGAGCGCCGCCATCCCCTCCTCCTGGAAAACCTTCGTCAGGTCCCGCCCGACCGATCCCACCAGCGGTATCTCGCCCCACCACCCCGCCCCTCTCCCCGGTCCTGTTGCAACCGCCGCCGCCCTCTGAGCTCCAGCAGGTGCTGCTGGCCCTCCCCCCCCGTGCGACTGCGCGCGTGTTCGCACGAGCTCCAGCGGCGCCATCACCACGGTGGCGAGCAGGCGGGCGCTAGATCCCGCCGTCGCCGGTGCGGCGAGATTCCCCGCCCCGGCCTTCTCCAGCCGCGCCAGGAAGTCGTCGTACACGGTGTAGTAGAGCACGGTAGAGGGGATCGCCATGACGAGGGACGCGTCCAGGCCCCGGTACAGTCCGCGCGGACCCTCCCACCTCGCGATGTGCATCAGCGCGGCCACTGTGCCGGTGGGTAGGGCCGGTACTCTATACCTCGGTGGCGGCGCTGCCGTTGCCGCCGCCTTTAGTGCCAACCTTGCCGTGCTAGTCGCCGTGCTGTCGAAGCCGGCCAGGGTGGCCCTGGCGGAGGTGGTGTACGTTCTGCCCTGTGGCGCTGCGCACTGGGAGCAGTGCTCGTTGCCGCAGCGCCCGGCGTTGAGGGAGGACGCCGTTTGCTGGCTAACGTACTCGGCCTGCGCCGCCTGCACTCGCGTCTTCACCACGTCTGAAGAATGGCGAGAGCGGAGAGGGGAGACCAGGCCGAAGAAGACAAAGACAAGACAGACAGACAAGACAGACAAGACAGAAGGCTAGACAAGTTAGCAAAGGCTCCATCGACCACAAACGTATTTGGTGGAGGCGAACGCCCTGTACAATGCTGAAACGATTTACACAGAGTAGATGGCATGGCGAGATCCGATTGATGACGAACAACAGGAGTGACGAGCGTCCTGCCAGACAGCCAGGAAAACTCTCGGAAGCCCATGCTGCTGATGGGTCACGCAGAAGGATGTGCTTCCTCTGGCCAATAACGGCACCACAACATGGGGCCGTCCTCCTTGTTGAATAGTGGTGGTCTGGGGAAGCGACACTGCATGCCTGTCGCTGCTGTCTTGTGTGTTACGATTAGTGGTATGTAAGACCAAGTTACAGATGCTTTACGAACATCTCGCTTCGGCGGGTTTTCTTGAGACGATATTTTTTCCATCGACTACTACTGCTGTATGCGTACCACCCGTGAAGGGCAGGCGTAACAACGTCCTTCTCCCAGGGGCGGCGCGACAGCACCAACTCATCCAAAATGCCGCCGATGTGGTGTGTAAAGCAAAGCGTAGGAACATACGCCGTGCTAGCGCTGGTTCTCGGTAGCCCTTGTTCCAGCGTTCGACGAGTACCTTGACGGCAATACTGTAGTAATTCGAGTGGACTTACAGCACCTCAGTCTGCATTATACTGATTGTGTTGTAGATGGCAAGACTTTGGGCATACAGGTATGTATGCAAACGGGGGCCTCGAAAACGCCAACAAGACGAGCGTAAGGCCTCCACCATTCAAATGCCACCCTGGATGTACACTGCTGCTGCTATACGTGATTCGTCACACCGTGGTCACCGTGTGCCGTTCTCGCTCGCAGATGAAACCGTCTTCAACGTACCGTGTGTGTTATATCCACGAAGAAAATAGATTGGTACAGCAGTAGTCTCGAGACAAAGCCGCTCGGCTCTCATGGTCACGGGTGTGGTGATTACGGTTGCGGCTACAGGAGTACCCTGGGCGTGTGCCCTGCTTGATGCACGTGCCCTGAACCGACAGCAAATTGCCAACGAGAGGATTCGTGGATGGTGGCAAACAATCAAAGCACATGTCTTGTTTCTCTCGAATATTCGACGCCTGAGGTCATGCATTGGGGTTGTAATGTTCTATCCTGGCCTAGTAATTGTGAAACAACTGCCTGCTCCTGTGCCCTCGGGGCTGGCTCTCCGGAACGCAGTCGTTTTCGAATAGCAAGTTTGGGAGAGTTGTTAGTAGCGCGTGGGGGGAGGCAAAAAAATTACTAGTAAGCCGTTCTTCTCACCCATCGGGGTTACCACCAGGCTTGTCGCCAGCACTCCGGCGCATGCCGACATCATACGCTGCGTCGGGGTGACATCCATCGGGACTGGGGCGGCGGCGATGTCTTCGGAGAGGCACTGGAATGGCATCCAATGTCGCCGCTCTCTCGAACGCCTTCGGAAAGGACTCTCGGCTTCTTGTTTCCCGTGTTCCCAGCGACTCCCGTGTGTTGAACTCTCGCGGTGAAGGCACCTGGATTCCTCTCGTGATCAGGGGCACTTCCCCAACAAAGAACCAGCGTGTTGTGTGAGCTGGTCGCCACAGCAAAACAGCTTGGGGGGCTACTGCTGTTATCCCTGTGTGGGGTTTTGCTTGGTCTTGCTGGTGTGTGTCAGCGGCCAGAGACTGATCTCACCGCGCGCGGAAAGGGCGAACCAGACCGCGAAAATTTTACGAACTCCTAAAGCGCCGCATCACCACGGACCATGCACCGCACCATCACCTACAGCAGCGGTTGCTTGGCTTGTAGAGCAAAGGTCACGGCAGGGCAACAGCACCCCTAGGCGACAACGGCTTGATAGAACACGCAGCTCGATAGACCATGGGGAACCACGTGAAGGCACGGCCTAAGTCGAGGCCCAAGCCGAAGAGCGTCAAGGCCAAGATCAACCGCAAGATGGGGTCTAAGCGGCGCACCCAGCGGATGGGCAAGGAGCTCAAGAAGGGCGAGAAGGGAGCCGCAGCGAGCTACCTCACGCGCGCCCAGGTGTGTGGTTGCGTCGGAGAGTCATGATGAACGATCGGTAGCAACAGTTGTCTCCTCTGTGCCATATGGCGTAATACCGCTGTTTTGGGGTTGGGGTGGTCGTGAACTCAAAGTCAGTGGTAAACAGCAGCGGTGCGCAGGTGCGGTGTCACTGCAGTGTAGCCTGTGGTGCAAGTGGTCGTCGGCCAGCAGTGGGTAGCATGATCCTCGGCTATGCTCTCTCCATTGCCCGGCCAAGGGGTGGAGCAGAGAAACTCTTGCTGTGTAGTACCATTTTGTATTCGGTAGTCGAGCTGCCATGGACCGCGACTGCTTCAAAAAATGCGGCTCAATATCCTTCGTTTTGTGTGGCCCACGTACCCTGGTAGGAGTTGACAAGGTGCTGTCCGCTCTCCCTTTTTTTGCCTCCCCTGCACAGCAGCGGTACGGGGAGTCTCGTGATTCACGAATTGACCAAGTTTTCGTAGATGCTTGCTGGCTACTGCAGCAAGCGGTCGCCAACACCTCCTCTCCCGTTACTTCAGCTGCGCCAAGCTGTTGACAAAGTTCGAGGGCGACTGCTGTCAAGCCGGCACCGATGTCCAATACCAGCAACACTGAACTCGACGGGCCCCTTGGCATCCGATGCCATCGATCTAACAACTATGAACCTCGTCGTGCCTTGGTACACACTGTACGATACAAACCACCGCTGCGACCTCAGGTGCTCCGCAGGCTGCAGATCTCCTTGCGAGACTTCCGGCGGCTGTGCATCCTGAAGGGAGTCTACCCTAGAGACCCTTCCAAGAAGGCGTCTGGAAAGGCGAGTGTTTCTCTGCACTCTATTTTGTCTCTTTTTTTGCTGGCCCATGTGCTTGCACCCTCCAAGTACATACACCCCCGGGCACTACTTCGGGATTCATTTTTACGTCTGGCCGAGGCTTCTGCTGCTTGTTACGGAATAGTAAGTGCTTTCACCGAGCCGGGCTGTGACTCCAGTTGCGCCGCCTAGGCTGCGTTTTTCAGTGCACGGGGGCCCCTTGGTACGCTCCATCTTCATGTTTTGCGCGAGGGTAGTGTTTGCGTCCCGCGGTATATCTCTCTCTTTTTGCCTCTCTCGCCTGCTGCGAACGCCCAAGGTGTTACAGAATGTCCCATATTGAAAGACAGTGGACAAGGCTAACTATGCTCGTTTATTCTTTGGTGCGCGCTGTTGCAGGACAAGACGTACTACCACATCAAGGACGTCGGCTTCCTCGCGCACGAGCCCGTGCTGCAGAGCTTCCGTGACTTCAAGGCCTTCATGCGGAAGCTGCGGCGCACCATCGGTCGCAAGAACATCAAGGACGCGCAGGTGAAACAACGCTGCTGCTGCTGCTGCTGCTGCTGGTACTGGTATTGGAACTTTCCGTGTTGTTGCATTTGCGGCTCCTGTCCTTGCCGGCTACACTATCGGTGTAGTCGTGGTGTAGTGGTTGGCTGGCTGAGTTGTTTCCGTCCGCGTCCTCTGTTGTCTCTGTCCGCTCTCCCAGCGCAAAGAGCTGAACGAGAGGCCGACGTACAAGCTTGACCACCTGGTGAAGGAGCGTTACCCACGCTTCCTCGACGCTGTCCGCGACCTGGACGACGCCTTGTCTCTCGTGCACCTCTTCGCCTCTCTTCCGCAGGTGCTGCTGCTGCTGTTGTCGTCGTTGTCGATGTGGTGGGGGTGTTTATTGATGGTGATCGTGATGAAAGTGACGTTGCTGTTGTTTTTTTCTGGGTGCTGCTGTTGCCGTGCACCTTGTTGGTTGTTGCTGTGTTCTTTTCCTCAAACTCATTCGGGGATATATACATCACAAGGCGACGTAAAATACATAAGTTAGCATCGTTCCTGTCGATGCTCAGATGAGCACGGTAGGAGGGAGAATTCTCGATGGTGGGAACCACTAGGGGGGGCGGGGGGGGGGTACTCTTTGTGTATGTTTTGCATGCCTTAGCGGTTAGACCATTGACCACGCGTCCTCGAGAGGACGGAGCATTGTTCCCACAGGACCGATCAACGATGGCCAATCATTCCTTTCTACTTTGCCAAAGGTGGCTCAAAAATGTNATCTCCCTGTACGTCCCATCTATTTTTCCCAGCTCAGTCACGTACACTTCCCCCTCCTGCTTGTACCACGGACATTTCGCGACTACATGAACACGGTCTTCGCATTGGAAGCCGCAATCACATTTGAACTCGTCGTCTTCCTCGTCTACCGTCCTATGTCTTCGTCGACGTTCTCGAACGCCTATGTTTCCGGTCCTGAATTTGACCCTAACCTTTGTTCCTGCATCCATTGGTCCATGTAGGTAGTCCTTGAACCCTATTCCTTNCTTGTACAACGGACATTCCGCGACTACATGAACACGGTCTTCGCATTCGAAGCCGCAATCACATTTGAACTCGTCGTCTTCCTCGTCTACCGTCCTATGTCTTCGTCGACGTTCTCGAACGCCTATGTTTCCGGTCCTGAATTTGACCCTAAGCTTTGTTCCTGCATCCATTGGTCCATGTAGGTAGTCCTTGAACCCTATTCCTTCCTTCAACATTCCGTACACTTCTAGACCCTCCTTATCCT